ACACACACACACACACACACACACACACACACATTCCCTGATTAAACTATAGGGTGGGGCATCGACAAGACATGTTGTATCCAACTGCCCCCTACTGATAATGACATCAGAGCATCTGTGCATGTGCAAACAGCTCTTTTACATTCAGAATGAAATGTCATGTTAGTCGCTGAGTGAATTAAAAGTTCAGTGTGTAAGATTTATTTGAAAGAGATCTATTGGCAGAAATTTCATATTAAATAATCTTAGTGATGTTTTCTCGGGTGTGTAATAATCTAAATTGTTCAAATTGTTGTTTTCTTTTGCCTAAAATGGGCCCTTTATATTTAAATGTATATTTCCATCGGGAGCGGGTCCGTGCTACAGAGGCTGCCATTTCTTTTACAGGAGTCCAAACTATAACCTTTTGAGTTCAAGACAACTCAGTGTGAAGGGCATTCAGCTACAACATGCATATTCCCCACTAGATTTCACTAAATTCTACACACTGATCCTTTCAAGAAAGAAACCAGATCAATATGTTGACTGTTAAACTGAGAGTTAACTTTGTCTTGGCTGTAAGTTAAACACTGTTTATCTTGGTTGGATTGCTGTATATTGGCGCAACTCTTTTGTTTTGACACTGCTGCCATGTGACAGATTTATCTGACACATAATGAGATCAGTTTCATGCATCATAATCCATCCGAGGCTCTGTTCTCATCTGGCATGGAATAGTTCCTGGCTGATGTGATCATGAGTGGACAAGTCCAAATACAGGCCTGAATACTAGTAAAGGGTCTTGTGGAGTTGAAAACAAACAAACGGAGTATGTTATAGTTCCTGTTTAAAAAACATAAGTACAGGTTTTACAAAAACTCCCAAATACCCAGCGTGAGCTGCAGGCCCATATTCTCTCTCTCTCTCTGTCACTGTGGTGTCACACCAATGTCTCACTTGCCTTGAACTAGCTGCTAAAATTGTTCAGCCTTTAAGGTGCACTGTGATATTATACATTTTCTTCTTTGGAGACTGAAATATGGCTGAATTATGTATTAAATGTTCTTTGACAAACACTGTAGAGTTTTTAAACTGCTGAAAAAATTGCACAGATTTAAATAATGACTTAATTGCCCCGTCCATGTGTGAAGTGTTATTATAAAATGCGTCTCTGTCAAGTAGCTCCTCCTTCACTCAGTTGTCATAGCGACCGTCTCGGCCTCACAAAGAGACTGTTGTAACTTGTTTTTAATGCCCTCATGCATCTGTAGAATTAGCTCGGCAAAATGACAGCTATATAGTTTGGATCTTTTGCCTGAGTGTCACTTCTTGTAGCAGAGCATTTTAAGCTTCTTATGCTACGAGCTTAAATCACTGAAAGGACAACTAGAAAGAACAAGCTTGCAACATTTGAAATAGAAGAACGATCAGATCTAAATATCCAGTTGTTACTGGATGGATAAAGTAGTGTCCCTGCCACGCTAAGTATGCAAAGATTATTCATATCAATCTTTTTCTTGTATATGTATGTCTGTGTGTTCACTCTCTTAGGAAACAGAACAGCTCTGCCCCTCCACCAGAGAGCCCGCCCAAAGAGCTGGCCAGCAGCTCGCCCTCTCAGGTGAGTTTTCTGTTCTTTCCAGTTGTGTATTTTTTTCACCCTGCTGTCAGGGTTCTCCCTGCTGTCTTGGGATTTCAGTTTTTTCCCAGGGAGGGTTTTTCTTTGTATTTTCTCCCTCGAAACTGATTTGTTTCCTTTTTAGGTGAATTTCGGTTTCAATACATGTATTCTGAATTGGTACAACAACACTGTTTCTAAACCAACACTGAAATTTCGTCCACTTTACAATTTGTGATCGTGGGACTCTTTTTCACTCATCACCTAGTTCATATTTTCACATTCCTTATCCTGCTGCTCTTTTTCGGTCTGTCCGGACTCTTGAGTTTATCCATTGTTTACTCTTCCATTAGGTCGAGGGAACTATTTTATTAATAGCTCCTTCCTCTCAGGTTGTTCTCCGGCAGACACCTACTGAATGCCCCCTGCTTTCCACTCACTCCCTCAGTAAACACAGCACACAAACACACGAGCAAACACTATATATCCTGAGCACATTTTTAGAGGTGAAAACAAATCAGCAGATAAAGCTGTACCTAAAACTCAGACAGATTAGGGATGAATCAGGTAGTGCTGCAAGCCAAAGGGAGTAAAACCATGTCCGCTCCAAGATGGATAAAAACCACAATAGCTATTCTGTGCTAGCATTTAATTTCCAGTTGTTTTAAAAAAAAATTCCATTCAAACGCGAAAAATGTAAGTCTCTCCTCTGTCATTCTTTCGCAGAAAAAAGTTTTCATACCTGCTGCCACCCAAATATGTGATCTCCAAAGAACAACAGTGTTAAATAATGTGAATGTTGGCCCAAGATGAAGATGAATATTGTAATAACTGCTTAGGGTGTCGCAATCACCGTGTTGCAGGTTCATGCTGTAGTTTGAGAATACCAGTCTTCTGTTGGGTCACACAGTGATTGGGTCGGCCACTCCCAAAGACATTAGCGCATACTGGGTCAAACAGAGCCCTGCCTGTAACGTAATCCCGGGTATTGTGAAGACGTCACAGACACAGTGCTTCTGAGAATACTCTTCCTATTATACTCCGTTCTTTGTGTTGCCTTCTCCATCTACAATGGTTTTCAAAAGACTTTTCCACCCTCAGACCTTTTGACCCCATTGTCTTTGCTCATGTACACTCACTCCTCAGTTCAGGCCATTTTCATTTGTTCTGACCTGGTTCGCAGTTTCCCCGTAGCTCAATCTAAGGTGAATTCATATTGAACCCTGGTTCTGCCTCTAAAATTGCTATTTTTCTCCCAGAAACGGCCTGCTGCTGACTTCATTGACCCTCTAGCCAACAAAAAGCCCAGGATATCCCACCTTGCTAGCAAAGCTACAACAGCACCTGTTAATGGCAGGTTCGGCTCCTCCAATGGGAGAGGAGAGGCTGGAGGAGCGCAGGCAGAGGTGGTTTCCATGGCAGAAGGTGGCGTGACGTCCAGCTCCCAGCAGCTCCCAGTGCTGGACATCCCTCGTCCCTTCGAAGCTCTGTCGGACGTCAGCAATGACTCCAGCCACAATGGGAGAGATTGTGACTCTCAAGAAACCGTGGTATCGGAGAGGCTCAGCCAAACTCCTTTGGTCTTAACCATGTCAACGGCACTCACAATGGCACTCAATGCACCCAGCATCAGCACATCATCTCCCGGACACTCAGTCCTGGACGGACTTCGGGACAAGAGCCTCTCATCTTTCAACAGCAAGTCCAAGAAGAAGTCGAAAAAGCATAAAGAGAAGGAGAAGAGCAAAGAAAGGGAGAGGGTGAGAGAAAAGGAGAAGGAGAGGAAGAGTCGCGAGGAACGTGTGCCTGAGCCTAATAGAGCCTGTGAGATGAGCCCAGGAAACCTCAAAAGCAACAGTATTCCACAGAAAAGCACAGGTGAGAGCAACAGAAGCACAGTTCCTTTTTTTCTCTCCCTAAAATGTCTTTATTTACTCAAAATCTGTTTCACAACTTTTGCATTGGATGAGAGATTTCTGAATAAAAGGAGCTTGTCACATGCGGACAGACAGTAGTTAGTCATCACTGTGTGTAGGTGATGCATTATGTGACTAGTCTGTGACTCACCGATTAAACGGAGACCCCTGCTGTTCAGTGTTATGCATTCAGTTACGTCAAATATACTCCAACTGAAAGATACCATCTTTAACAGATAACCTGTTTAAGAGATGCATTTTAACAATGTCATGAACAATAACTGATCATAGTGACCTTTTGTGCTGTTTCCTCTCCAGTCCCACTACAGCAGCTTTTACAAGCTTTTTACAAACAGACAAGAAAAATAACATTAATAACATAATTGTTCTGTTTGATCTTGTTTCAGTTCTGAACGGGATGTGCAACAGTACCAGTATTCCTTCATCATCACCTGAGGTGGCAGACTACTTATTGTGAGTATAGGTTTTACAGGTTCTCTGTAGGTCAAAAGTGATGCTGTTAGCAGATGCATGTCCCAAAAACAATGGAAGTTAGTTACATTATTTTCCTATCGCTACAGTTCCTGCAGTTGCCAAATGTGACATGTTTCCCATATTTTCATGTTTAGTTTGACTTTCTACTTCTGATGTCCATTATGAATCAACTATAAATAAATCGTTTATCTGAATAAAAATAATAGAAAAAATGACATTTCCCTTCATCTTTGTTTTCTATTGCATCTATATTAATCCAGTGATGATTGTCTGTAATTAAACGGGTTCATTGCAAACATAAATTTGGGATTGCTGATTTTATCATCCTTTTAATTTACTAAAGTAAATGCAATTGTTTCTACTTTAAAACTCCAATTAACATATTAATTGATTAATGTTATTACCTTTTATTGTGTTTCGGTTTGGAGAAATATTCCTCTTACTCCTCTTTTTCTTTTTCCAAGAAAAGACAAAAATGATATAAAATAAACTATAAAATATAATACCTTTTGAAAATATTAAAAGCTGGGAAGTTCAAAAGGTCAAACTAAACATTCCCAACATAGAGATTTAATGAAAATATAGCTGATTTTAGGTAAATGCTCAGAGAAAACAAATCCTCCGAGGTTGGATGGTCAGCTCAGGTGATGATCATGGCCAGTGCTGGTGACATGGCTGAAAGCCGTAACTGTTTGGTTGTGACAGAAGGCACAGTTTCTGAATACATGCTGAGCATTTCTCCATGGATTGGGAACTTTGACACTTTTACAGCACCTGCTTTTGGAATAAAAAAATTAAATGTTATATAGAAATCTCACTATCTACGACATAGGACCTTTAATGTTTGCACTTTGTCCATAGGGTCTTTGGTATTTTACTAACTTTTCCCCTCATTCTCCCCTCAGAAAGTACACAGTAATTGGCTCTCCAGAGCAGCGTCAGAGGTATAAAAACGATTTCAACGCAGAGTACAGTGAGTACCGGGGCCTGCATGCTCGCATAGAGGGCATCACCCGGCAGTTCACTGTGCTCGACAATGAGCTCAAGCAACTCCAGCAAGGCACAGACAAGTACAAGGTAAGTTTCCTAAACGACACACGTGCTGTTTTTGTCAGAAAGTATCAGGTTATTTAAAAAGCGCACTAATTTATTGCCTCTCTTCCCAGACAATCCACAATCAGATACTTCAAGAATATCATAAAATAAAAAAGGTAAACTTTCCTGCTTGGACTGATTTCTGTGGTACAAGTATCTGAGTATATCTGTTAGATATATTTTAATATTTATCAGACTTTGACTCTGTGCTTTTATATTCCCTGCAGACTAATCCAAACTATAGCCAAGAGAAGAACCGCTGTGAATATCTACACAACAAACTGGCACATATAAAGAGACATATTGCAGAGTACGATCAACAGCAACTTTAAAAGTAGTTATTAGACATTGTTTCCCTGTTATCTCTGGAAACCAAGCAGATAAAGGAAAACTTTGGATTCCGCTTGTGCAAAAAAAAAAGTTCTAATGAAAGATGCCATGAAGGGAGTATTTCCCTCATTGGGGCCAAAGGCTCTAGAGAGGACTTAGCAGGACATGTGATCTCTTTTTCTCTCTCTCTTTCCTTTCATTTGTTTTTTTCCCCCTCCTTTTTGAAAACGGGGATGCGTCTGGTGTGGCCAGGTCCATCTGTGTAGTTACAATGCGTTCAGAAAGAATGACAAGTTGTGTGGCTTTGTTTGTTCTCAACAGCCCACCCTGCTTACTGTGCACAGAGGTCTGAACGAGTCAAAAACATGGACAGTTTCTCGGGCAAATATTTGTTCCTTCTTTTGAAACTGGAGGGAAGGGAAGGGCGACACTGAGATGAATACTGCTGATTGTACGCCAAAAGCAACTAATTTTGTTTTCGTGTAAAGAAAAATTTAAGTTAATGATGCTTCAGTTTACCCCTTATCTTGAAACAAATGTTGTGATGTTCCCCTTATTTTTCTGTCTTCCTTTTTATTTATTTTGGACATTTAACTGGGGGGGAATGAATCTGTCCTACACTCCTGAATACCAGTACTTACTTAAAATCTCTTATTTTTCTTTTTTTTGTCCTCACATCTTGAATGTCAGACAGTTTTTGTTTTTTGTTTTTTTTTAATTCAGAAGCTGCCTTGCCCACCTAATTGTCAACTTGTTGGCATTCATCATTCTTTTCTCTTTTAAAGAGATGCAGTTATTACTCCTTGATTAAATCAAAACATTGCCTCCAAATGCACAAGGGTCAGTCGCAGGTTTGTGCGCTTGGCTCTTCATTTCTAAAATCATGTGCAGATGTCTTAACAATGGGGACGTGCGAAATTTTCCTCTCTGACTAAAGCTGTAGGTTTTTCTGCCGACACAGTCTCCTCACTCATGTCAAGCTGCAGTTTGCTGCTTGTTCACTGCAGTGGTCCTTTATTATGTTTTCACCATATTCTAAGATCTAAAGTGGGTGTCCAATATTGTTTGTGATGGCTTTTTGTAGCAATAGAATTACTAACAGTTGTCTGAAGAGTTTGTGGCCAGCTCTACTCTTCATCATTCTATGGAAGATCCTGTAATTGTAAGATGACGCAGAAGGGGTATTCAGATCGCCGGGGTTTTCCTTTCATCTTCAAAGTGTTCAAAAATTTAGATTTGATCCACAGATCTGAAATCTCTTTAGTTACTATTCTTGCCAATTTTAGTTTTGTTAATACAATAGGTTTTTTTCGTCTGCTCATCAAAACATATGGTAGTCCATTCACGACGACTGTTAAGATGAAGCCATCCTTGATCATCTGCTGAGCAGCCCTCCTGCTGAGAGAAGCAACGCTCATGTGCGACCACTTTTGGCCTTTTCAAATGTGATGTCAGATTATTCAGTGGAGGAAGAAGTGATAATCTTATCTCCTGGATCAGCTCTCCTCTGTGAGAGAAGTGTTGTATCAAGACGGAGGCGAAGAAAAATGAAGAAATGCTGCATCAGAAGTTGACTTCAGTCATCTGCTGCATTTCTTATATCAATCTTTTTATGTGAATATGAAAAATCAGCACTTTTTTCTCCTGATCTCGCTGTTACCTGGGGGGGGGGGGTTGTCCAAAATGACACTTTTCTCTTTGTCCATCAGAGTGCATGCTTTATGAATGTGTTACAATGAACAGTCTTTGTGTCTTTACTTGGGGGGGGGGGGGTCAGAATTCAAGCAAAGGCTAGTCCAATGGAGTTAATGTTATCATGAGACATGGATCTGACCATCATGTATACCAAAGTGTTTACTGAGTCTGATCAAACGTGGCGATCTACCACGTGTCGGAACATGTCACAGTATTCTCTCGTTCCTGTTCTCATTTATTTTGTCCATATCATCCCGTGGAAACTTGCAGTGTTTTTCTTGTGTGAAGTCAGAGGAGGCTCCTTTTACTTCAGATAAGATTTGCATGACTGGGCTCAAGTGTTTTTAACATCAAATTTCAGATTATATTAATTCCAGATGTCAAATGACACATCAAAGCCAGTGCCCGCCGTGACAATGCTGCGATGGTCGAGACTGAGAACTGATAAAGTCTGAACAGGAGCAGATGTCAGTGTTTTTGTCACTAGGATCAACACTCGCCCAGTACTGCAACCCTTCAACAAGAAAGACACTATTCATTGATTCTTGCTGTATCTTGTTTTCTAGAAACACTCTGACATGATTACTGTATAACGCCTCCTTTATGGTCAAAATCCATTGTGAATGAGTTCATCTTTTGCTCTGGAGAGCTAACTGTTGTGAAAGTAACGAAATGCCAGCACAGGAGTACCTGCTGTATGAGTTGTGCCAAAATGACCTGTTGTATAGGGTTTTTCCCCCCTTACTCTGAGTGTATACATGCTGCTGTATAAGCAAAGAGGGAGAAGAGTCATGAAATGTTGGCGCTAAAACCCAAAGCACGCTTTTTGAAAACCATAAGGGACTGGGACTGAAATTGATCTTTGTTTCAATAAAATTCTTTAAAATCCTTATTTATGAATATTTGAACCTGTTTTCTGTTATGACGAGTAATTCATGTGTTGTACAGGGGTAGTGATGCCCTGAATTTAACACACAGAAGTGATATTTGGCTCATTTTGTAATGGACATATACATAATTTAAAAAATGTAACTTTTCCTTTGGCACATACATGAGACATCTATTTTATCCCCAACAATGGTCCTTTTTGGAAGCACTGCAGTCGTCATTCCCTAGAAATATAAATGACATTCTTGTGTGTTTGATAGAACTTTTATTATGTTTTCCATTCCTGTTAAAAATTTGAGTACTATTACTGTGGGCTGTAGTGACGTGGATGTCCTGTAGATGGCAGCAGGTTTCCACAGTTCAATCCTCATTCCTTGTTTTTGTTCAAGAAAACAACAAATAGAAAAAGAAACATTTGAATCCCTCATGTTTCACCAGTTTGCATTGTTTCTCATTGTAAACCTGTGTAATTGGTCAGTGACACCCTCGGAGTCAGTCTGACAACACATCTACACGTGTTGTGTTTCTAATGTGCATCCTCTTCAAACACACAAATGTTTTAATTGCCAAACATGTGCAGTGCACTGAAACGTGAATCTAAAAAAAGGCCCTGGCATGGCAGCGTGAGCAGAAGATGCTCCGACAAGGCAACAGAGAGGACAGGGCTTGGTGTAATGTGACACACTGTGAAGGATCCCAGAAATCTACATAGTGACTGTGTTCCAGTTGGCTGGCCTGGCTGTGCCTGAGCCTCCCTGTGCTGCCACTGGCTCCCGTCCCGAAGCTGGCCTCAGCGCTGCTCAGGGAGCTGGAGGGGGGCCCGGTCAGCGAGTTCATTATGGCGAGCTGCCACCTCTCTCTCTATTCAACATACAGCACCGTAAACACTGACATGTTTACACACTCGCAGAGAAACTGGAGCTTTCCTCCCCCTGTGTCTTTCTATGGTTGTAGCCTGTTTAGTCAGATTTCAAGATTTAAATTGTCTGGGTTTCAGCAGTGAAAAGAGAGGAGGGGTTCACTCGTATTTAGATTCTCTGCTAACACACCAGGTCACTGCTTCACTGTGAACATGTAGGCCATGGGTGAAACAAAGGTCAATCAATTATTTGACGTGCCTGTTTGGTATGTTAGTCATGAGGCCATTTCATAATAGATTGAAGTACAATAGTTCATTCTGAAGTTCATACCCACTGCTGTTTAATCCTCACATACTGTCCATGTAGGTTACTGAGAGGGAAATATTTACAACTTTATTCACACCTCAAAAAAACAAACCAGGACAGGTGTGAAAGAACAACCTTTACAGTCTTGCAATTTGAAGAAATGTTATCAAATATTGTAATTTAGACAAAATGAGGAAGTCCTCCTACAAATAAATATACAAAAATGTTCTCAAGTAAAGGCACTGCTTTTCTACATAAAAAAAGTAAGTATACTTGCTTTTAAATATACTTAAAAGTATTAAAAGTAAAAGTACTTGCCAAGTGTCGCCTATTCTGAAATGCAACTACACAATTAACTGTTCCTAATGTTTATTTGTTTCATACTAAAACAATGCAAGAGTCATTTTAATAAAGAATGCTACTGAGAACATTTGCATCATCATATAAATTAATGGCAGAATCTCAGCAGTGGCCTCTGAGTCAGCTGTTTCCTCACCACTCATGCTGCAGGAGGAGGCAGGGTCTAATGTTACCTGCCTGCTCTGATAGGATCAATTCCCCTCTCGTTATTGATTATTTTTAGAAATATAAAGAACAATGTCAACATAAAAAACAGTCCATTATAAAAGTGTAGAGGAGTCAAAAGTACTGATATATGAATTGTAGTAAAAATCAGAAGTACCTGAAAATAAATCTAGTTAAGTACTGATACATGAAAAATGGTGTAAAGTACAGTAATAAAGTAAATGTGCTTTGTTACATTCCACAAGTGGTTAAATGTCTTTTGCAGCCTCTGAGTGTTCATGGTGTGATTCCACAGGATGGGTTGAGGAATAGCAGCTCTGTGCAATAACCAAGTTTGTTTTGTAGATCCCAGACAGAAGTTTGATTAATCTTAATTTCTCCAATCTCAGCTGACTAAAATCCTTCTTCGACATTTGCGTTCATCATTTGGATCACCACGTTATTACTTGTCACCCCATATGTGTCCTGTCCTCCCTTGTTGTGGAGCCTGTGTCTCAGCATCTCAGCGGATGATTATTCAGCGACAGCTCACACTTATTAGCATCTCAGCGTCGTATTGACTCCTGTGACCTTCAGCGTCACTTCCAACAGGAGGTTGGTGCTGATCTTGTCACCGCATCATTGTTTCTTTTTAACCCAACAAAGAGCAGCAGTCAAGAAGTCGAGTTAGAGACTGACACACGGTAATCATTTTTATATGAGATGTTCTGGCTTCTTCTATCTGTTATACTTGACAAATACAAGTCAAGATTCTGCAGCAGATCAGTTCTTTATTTTGTGTGATTTGACCATTTATTGTTGAGGACCTTTTCAAAATATGTCAGGTCACATTCTTGCTCCAAACAATACTGTCTCTGTTGTAGATCCCTTCGCTGAATCAGCCAGCTTTTCCACTCATCCTCCCATTTGATTTCTTATCCTTTCATTACACATGCAATCAAACAATAGCCATGCTCGTTCAAAGCTGCAGATCAGATGGTCCTATTTGTCTGTTGTTGCATAAAATTGTTTTGCGTCAAACATATAAATACATTGCAGGGCAGTATAAATAGAGATGCAAAATAAATATCATAATTACATGGTGTGACCACTCGCTAACCCATCCACACCCACAACGGCACAATACAAATCATCATTCACTGTGCTGCAGTGCAACATGCATTAATTATATTTCACTGCACAGTTCTGAATGAAACCTATGTTCTGCACAACACACGTGCAATGTGAGACACTATGGTACAAATGCATTTTCTATAAACTATGCAGTGCATTAATTGTACATAAGACTGATGTTTCACACAGAGCTGAGCAGCCATGTAATAGATTGTTGGAAACATTTACTATTTTTCATATTATACTAAGAGTGTTGTCTATTTAAACTGTCAGATTCAAAACAGTGGGACAAACAACGTCAGTTTGTAAATGCTGCAGTGACAGAGATTTCTTCGTTTAGGACTTTGATCAGCCCTGGACTATTGATCCACATTCAGGTCTGACAATATCACACACATTTGTAATCCCTCTTTCTCTCTTTGTGT